CCTTATGCCTAAAGTTAGTGTTTGCTAAGAATAGGTGGTTATCTGAGCATAGTTGCAACAGACGGTCGCCATTGTCTGTTCTTTGAGCCACGACACCATAACACCCACCTAGGTGTCTTTCATTTTCACTTAGTCTACCTACCTGAGCATTAAAAGCACCATCCATTATTACTATATTGGAACGCCTAACGTTTTGGAGGAGGTCCGAAAGCTTTCTGTAGAACTCGCCTTTCACCTCGTCTGAACTGCAGTGAGTGGGGGCATAGGCAGATACGACGAAGAGGCAACGACAGAAATGATTGAAAGAATATATATATATATATATATATATATATATATATATATATCATAGTTGTCGACTACGTTCGGGAATATTTAGACCAACGAAAGTGACGCACTGTGATTTAACACGTTGATGCAGTAAATCAATATGCATTCAAAATAAACCCAAAATCAAATTCCTTCTTTAGTTAATAAAATGAGGTACCATGAATACATATATGAAAAAAGTGATGCATTAACAACCTTCAGTTATGGAGTTTCATATTAGGAACTAGCTGAACAAAAACAGCCTAAAGTGATTCAGATGTTTCAACCAGGGTCAATAAACATCTAAGATAAATAGGCGATTGCATTGAAAGCTGTGTACAATCAAAAAACGACAGACCAAGTGAACATGACCAAGATTCAGGATCGTCCAGGTTAGTCGTACAAAGCAGACGACAGATAAGATATAGTAAATAAAAAAGAAGCTTAGAATAATGTAAGTGATTCTTGAAAATCAAGGTATATATCAATCACTAGTAGGAAAGGGGGAACGACAAATGTAATAGAAGATAAATCACTCAGAAATGAAACTCATGTACATAAAATTTACATACATTAAATAAACGGTAATTGGTATTCAACGACGTCACTAGGTTGGAGTGGTTTTCTAAATGTTCTAAACTCGCCAGACAGTATTCATCAGTCAATAACCAAAAGAAATGATATGACTGACTCTTGCTAGAACTACGGCTGCTGATCTGGAGAACGGCATCAAAGTTAACATCAATGGTGCACAGGGATTCCCCACACATCCCAGTTTTCCTAACCAATGTGCATACCAATCTTTACAATTGCATACTAGCCAAAGACGGTCAGTAACCGTTGGGATATCTTGTGTTACCGAAGATCAGACCACTTTAGATGCTCAAAGAAGAAGTGGTGCCAAGGAATTATTGTGTTAATGATTAGGATGCTTATGGAAAATTAACTCAAAAAATGTACATAAATGTAACATACCTGACCGGTAGCACCGATAAATCCCGTTTGATTAGCTATATGTTGGTTTGTATGAGGCCCAGGGAGGTGATCAACCAGACGTAATAACACTTTGATAAGACTACTTTTACCAGATCCTGTACGGCCAACAATTCCTACACATTCACCTGGTTTAATAGTGAAACTGACTTCATCAAGAGCTTTGACAGATTGCCCATTAGTTGACTGGGAATTTTGACGATAGGTAAGCGAAATATTACTGAAACAAATAGATCCAGATGCTGGCCAATCAGGCGGCAGTTCGGTAGGGTAAGCAATACCTTTTTTCCTCTCTTTCGGTAAACGAAGGTGTTTGTGTGACGATGAACGAGGTTGAGGCGCCTTCAGAGAAGTAATACGAAGTGAATTCAACGTGTTTTATAAACAATGTAATACAGATAACATTTAATGCATCAAGTTACTATGAGTAAAAGTGACATGTTCATTGTGATTAATGCGTCATTTGTACCCGCTATATTATCCGAATAGCATTACTATAGGATAATCTTTTGATCTCATTATGATGTGCGATCTTATACTGTAATATAAACTTAAAGAATTTTGAAGCAACTATTGAGTTATTTGTATAGTATTATCGAGATGATGATTTTTATATTGCTTCTTAATATTAAAAATTTGTTCATTTCGTTTAAACAAATTATAATCGTCTCCTTTTGTTCAGTGAAATGAATAGTTTTACAAAGGAAGTTATTGGTTATTCTTTTTTTGAAGATTATGAATTCTAATAATTTAAAAAATACTGGAATTCTATCACAGACACCGAAAATATGATTTTGACTATGTTATACCTGATAGTGTTTTAATTACTTGGAACCTTAAAGTATGCTATCAGAGAATACAAAATGACAACTTATTGCGGCTTTATGGTTCGTGATTTATATTTCCATAAAAATCAGAAACCGTATTTTGCATTTGTAAAGTTGGATAAATAATGCTCGAACAGTAGCAAGAAGCTCAGTTAATACTATGTCACAGAGGTAAGTTGATCAATTTCAAATTAATGTTTTATAAAGGGCTACTGAAAGATTCAATGTTCAGCTTTCCGATTTTCTAAACTTGTTGAACGTCATTGAACTTTTGTTCGTAATAATATGCATCACAATCATGAATGCAACTCTTTAGAGTATATCCATGAATTATTATTCATGGATGAGAAGGGTGATCAAGGTGGAATTTGAAATTGTCCAACCATTAATGATTTCAGGGATGGAAACTTTCAGTGTTGTCAACTTGTCAACAACAGAAAGCAAATAAACCCACAGGATGTCTTCGATATTTGGCAAAAAGTGTTCCAAAAGACTAAATAATTAGGTTAGCAATGCATGTATTTATGTAAAATGACATGTCGAGGAATATGTCATATCACATTCATCGGTGAATTTTGTGAGTACCGAATTGCTGAAGATAATGATCCGTAACGCCTGGTCTTCGCTAGATCAGAGTGTATGGATTTTTGCTTTTGTACGAGCAATGTTAATATACATTTAGAAATGGATAAAATTTTATCAACAAACAGCTTGTTTCTTTTTACTCTGGCCGCGCTGAAACTCAGAGACTAATTTATCTGCAGATAATTAAATCACATAAGACAAATGCACAAATAGTTTCTAGTAATATGACTAATATTCTATTGAATGAGTGCATTGAAACTAATAATAATCATATAAAATGACCTAGAATGTAGTTTTCTAATTAGGACAAATATATTGGATATTACTAAAATCAGTAATGCTATTCCGTAGTCAAAGTAAAGTTTAACTTCATAGATAGTTACTGTTGACATCACGGTATCAGAATTGGACTGATATACAAATATATGAGAAATAATTATATACAATTATAAGAGAAATTTATACAAAATTGTCAGAAGAATAGTAAACTATAGACTAACCATAGGTTTAGTCGATACAGTATCATATTCAATTGGAGTATCATCAGTTAATTCTTGACAACGTTCTACAGCGACAAGATTTTTTTCTGTTTCAGTCATATCATACACAACGCTAGTCATTAAACCAGAAATATTAAGAGCGTACACAACTGACAAACCAACAGAAGCAACCTGAAATGAAGAAAAATGAAATGAAATATTAATGTTTATCGATTCTTGAAATCTGATTAAACTGTCTGCGAAACCTGGTTTGTAAGGAATAGTTATAGCCCTGTAAACCTTAGTAATTAATTGATGTTACAACAGCGAGGTGTGTGTGTGAGCGAGAGATAGTGAAGTAACCCACCTAACTAATCAAAAACGATATCACAAATGCCTATCCTCTTAAATTAATCGAATGTTTGTTTGTGGTTTGCACTTGCTTTTGCATTTTGACTATTATAAAACTGAACATTTCATTTTAGCTGTATGATGATGATTCATATCTATGATTTCGTCCAATTACATATTATGCTGTATGTACCAATCTATCTAAACGATGACACTTATTTGAAAACTGCTGCATTGGTTATATTAATTTTATTTTAGAAAAGGATCAAATAGTAAAAGTAAGCTGTATATGTTTTAAAGATGACTTTCAAACAAATTTAGATTTGGCAGTAGTATAGTGTTGTGATCAAACAGAAAATATATAGATAAATCGTACACAAGTGAACTCAGCTCTTCCCCATTAAATGAATATGAATTCAAATTAATTTTCCTTACGTAGTGATGATGATACTACTCAGTAGTTTAGACTAGAGTATATGGAGTATAGTTGAAGATCGAGTGTTCGTGAAAATGATGTGTTTACTGGATTTTGTATCTTTTGTGCTGAACTTTGTCGGATGCAGTAAACATACACATATGCAGTGGATGATATTCTACAAAGTACCCGTTCTCATTAATTATATCACTGAAAAAGTATCTGTGGCTTTTTTATGTAAACCTGAACCGTCTGTTCTTCGGTCAAACAAGTTTTAATATGCCGTCAGCTAATTTAAGTGGTGTCCCTTAAGCTGGACGGCTAAACTGCGTAGCTTTCACTGAATATTTGGATAATATTAGCGCCCACTTCATGCAGAAGCGAATTTTTTAATTATTCTACAAGTATTATATTAGTTCTTTTCGATAGTTTTGTTTATGATTGACTGGTTCGTAGATTTTCTTGTCTTCAATTATTATTGTATTAATGTTGATTGATCTATATTGTTTAACCCTTAGCCTCGTGATCGATAGATAACTAGGTGGTCACAGGCTAGTATTCGTAAAATCGGTGCTTAAGTTTGCTTTTCGTCGGAACTTGTTGGTATGAAATTAATTTAAAATTATATACTGAATGAGAAAGGAAACATAACCACTTACTTGTATCCAGTCAAATAGTCGACCAACTAATGATACACTGACTACACCAATAATTACAGTACTACCAATCAATTGTAGTCTAATACTCAACCAACAACTAGCAGCCAAGCTAGCTAACTCAGCACGAATTTGATTAGATAAATTAAATGCTGTTAATTGTCGAAAACGGATTTCTTGGCCTAAACCACGTATTACCGCTAATCCAGATAAAGTATCAGTATAATGAGCATAGACTGGTGAACGTACAATACTGGAAATAGTAAAAAAATTCATAATAAAATCATTAGTAAAGAGTAATTAAATGTAGAGTGATAGGATAATAATTAATTTTTTTTCTTCAGATAAGTGATTTATGATTATGCGTAAATAAAAAGTACATGATACAATCAACATAATTCAAATAAGCAATGATTTTGAGTAGATAGCTGTTTTCATACATGAACTTAAAAGTGAATGAATTTGTGTCTATGAATAAGTTATGTATACACTGCAATTAATCTTATCTAGTAAAAAAGCAAACAATTAAATATTTGAAATAGTCGATAGAGGTAAGAAAGTTTTTCCGTTAACCAATCTTGTTTCAAATAAGACAGAGACTATGGTTTATCAGTGTTGAGGGACCGATATTTATGATGAGAATGTTACTGATCTTAAAAATTTTATAAAATACATTCAGACTTATAATTGTATTCCAAATAAGTATGGAAATTATTGAAGAAATCGTTACACATACAGTATGAAGTGTTAGTTATACAACAAATGAAATTCAAATAAAATATACATTTTTTGACGGATAATGTTAGTTAACAAGTTCCAACAAAAATGAAACTCAACTGATAACTTAAGAACGTTTGGAATTCAAGGGAATCGGAGAAACCCTAAGAATTTTAGCAGATTTCTAAAATTATGGCATTTAGATCATTTAAGAATCACAAGACACATCAATATAGATACAGTTAGTGAAATCAAACGGAAATGATTTATTCATCGAAAAGCTAGAGGTCAAACAATAAAGACAATCAGTGTGTGAATACAATAATAAATGAATCAGCCAATCACAGACACTTGCATGAAATGGGCGCTGATATTATCCACAAATACAATGAAAGCTACGCAATTTAGCCATTTAGTTCATGGAACACAATACCATTGGAAGCATTCAAAAGGAAGTTTCATTATAGACAGATATTACATGGAGTATCATGAACAGCTGTTTCATCTTGATTTAAGACTACTTAAGAGCACGCATCAGAGGATATCAACGTCGAGAACTTTAAATCTTACAAAAAATATTCAAATCCATATATACATTCCGGTCATTAATTGGTGAGATTCAAATAACAGCGAAGGGTGTTGCAAGCCTTTTAACAATTAAGTATTAACGATTTTGTAAGTATGATTAATATACGTCTCTGTGAGATATTGTTATTGTTCAAATCTTTCAGCATTCAGACAAAAACTAATTATCAAACTTTTTCACATGAATAAATGGATACATGGGCGTAATGGTTGATAAACTAAACTATCCAATTACAGAGTTGCAGATTCTAAACAAGCTTCACCTATCTAATATCACGCGGTTAAAGTGTAATTCAAAGCTAGAGAGATGAGCAAGTAACTGGCTAATAGGTAGAAAGAAACATTATATTTTTAATAACAATTAAATTGTAAAAAAAATATTTACAAATACGTCAATCAAAATATTGATAATATCAAAAAAATACTCGATTGGGTAAGTTAAGGACAACAACTAATATTTTGAAAGTAAAATCATTCATATCTTGATTATGTATGAATTTGTATAAATTTACTGTTACCATTTCATAACAAACAAATCTTAACCACCATTATTGTATTTAGAGCAAAAACAAAAAAATCAAACAAACAATTACACATCATTGAAGTAACTAACCTTCATTTAGTTCAGTATACATGATAAACATTCGTAGGCTTAAACTTTACCTCATCATTTATACAAGTCAGTCAGTTAGAATTTAACATCAACTTTTAAATAAATAACAGACAGAGTTAATAACCTCGAGTATAAACCGGTAATCAAAGTGAATTATTATTATTATTATTTTAACGATAATAATAATAATCGGTTCAGATAGTTTATCGAGATGAGTTGTGTGATATTATTAATAGTATATAAAGAAAGTAAACAATGATTAATTTCACTATTAGTGAACGTTTTAAAATTTTAACAAATTTTCAACATGCAATAAGACAACATGAAAACTAGGAAATAGATGATTATGAATAAATTGTAGGATAGTTAGGAAAAAAAGAGTAGAAATAAAATCAATTGTGATATTGGCAACTTGAATTAATGTATGTACGTACGTTCTATGTTGTTGTTCATCAAATGATTAACTGAATTGAAAGAGATATAAAGTAGTGAGTAACAAATTTATTATCATTGCAAAATAAAAAAGAGATAAATTAACTCACCTAGAAATTCGTTTAAGATCTCTAGCAGCTCCACGATATTGTCTTTGAATAGACCAGAAAATAAATACAAGCGGTAGTAGAAAGAAAATTAACGTTGGTAATGATGCACAAACAATAACCAATGCACCTAATAAACCAGCTAAACTGGCTAGTAGAATATTTAATTGGAATGGTAATGCATCATCTACAGTACCGACGTCAGATGAAAAACGATTCAGAATACGACCTAGTGGTGTAGTATTAAAATAGTTCAATCGTCCCTGTAATGAGAAAGAGAATCATTTAATGATACATATATATATGAGAATAAAAATGCTTGTTTGTTTATGAAGGAATTTCTGTTAGTATGTTTGAAAAAATTACTAGGTTGATAATTATGATTGTTAACAGCTGTGTATGATGTAAGAGAAAGTTAATGGATCTGAAATAACATATATATGCCTTGTATATTTGTTCAAACTTACAGTGCTAGACACATTTAATTTACAATCATGAAATATTAGAGTTAAAGGTTTAAAATTAAACAGTATATTCCATTTTATTACAATAACTAGTTTTAAGGATGAATAAAAACTGAACAGAAGTAATTTTTGCGCATCAACTATCAGATTAATACAAACCGAAGTAGACTGTTTAGGTTATCAGTTAAAGAGTTCAAATTCAAAAATTCTAACTTCATTGTTACGTTTTCCGCTAAAGTACACTTTGGAAAATAATAATTTAGTTTATTAGTCCCAAATTTAAACAAGAATCGGAAGCGAAGAAGTATATTTTCCAAAGTCTTAAGCAACAAAACAAATGGTGGTAAAAAAATTGGATTTTATGTATAATTTACATAGGAATCTTTTAGTATCTTCTCAATATAACCGTTAGGATTTATTAGTTGAAAATGAAATAATTACTTGGTCATACATCATAGCTAGTACTTTCTGACCAACTATGAACTATCGTTTTTATGCCTTTTAGTATTAGTTGGATTGTCCCTCCATATACCTGTTTCATTGAGACTTGTGAGCTAGCACCAGACAAATGATAGTGAATAGTGTACAGATATGATTAAATCTGTATCAGAGTGTATACACTAGAACTTCTATTGTCTACTTCATGGAAGAACTTATATTTTAGTAGTTGATACATACAGCAAGCGACCAGAAATTTTTTCTCATGGCTCATCCAAATGCAGGTTCCATAGTAAGAAAACGAAGACAGTTGTCAGTAAGAATAACATACAGTTTGCGTCTCTCATGTGAATGATTCGATGCTAGTTCATAAACCTTGAAGAAACATATCTGTGGACAGGCAATTCAACCAATACTATCGAGCACAAAAACGGTTATTCACTGTGGATCAGAAAACACTTGTTATAGATTACCATAGTGAACACCCTAAATGAATAGCTGGTAGAATTGCGTGATGAAAAGATAGTACGGTCCATGAGATGTCAGTTGGTTCGTCAACTTCGGCACGCTACGATAATCGACTAAAAGCGACTTTTATCCCGATTGATGTAAACCGATATGGAAAACTAAATTGTTATGTACCTTCGAGATCAAACTTCCAGAATTAAGTCAAGCCCATTGAGGAAGCAGGCAAAGAAAGATACCCAGTCTATATTGCCATGAAAGTGGAGATATAGAAAGTACAGATCTATGATTCTGATACAAGTGAATCCTAATATCAGATGCTACAAATCTACCTCTAGGGAAGGTGTTAGCAGGATAGCGCTTTGATTAGTGGATATTTAGGTTAGAAACAGGGGAGGAGCACTCTGATTATTTCATTTTCAACTAATAAGTGCCAACGGTTATATTTAGAAGATACTAAAAGATTCTTATGTAAATCGTGCATAAAAGCCAATGTTTTACCACTATATCTTTTGTTGCTTGAGACTTCGAAATACATTCTCGTTCGCTTCCGATTCTCGTCCACATTTAGGATTAGTAGAGTAAATTATTGTTTTCAGAGGGTACTTAGCAATAGGAGACATAACACACCGATAGGTATAAGTCAAAGCCTGGAATCGGGGTTTACAAATTAAATATCTTAACAATTATCATCGCATATGATATGTAAATGGAGTGATTTGGCACAAAAGTAACATTATTTATTCAAATGACGGCATTATTTATGAGGTGGCGTTGTTTTTAACAAAATCTCAAGGCGGATTGAACTAGACAGAATGAGACTTTCTTTACAACACTTTCTGTAACACATCTGAAGTATTTTAGCATACTATGATAATACAAGACAACTATTAAACCATACAAATGATCAAAATCCTGTACTGGATTATTTTCGAGATAATTCCCATGTTTTGCACATTACTCGTGCTGATAACAGTTGTTAGATAACATCTAACGATGTATAAACTTTAGGAGACAGTGCAGAATATTGAGTAGAGTTTATTATCGTGTAGCGCAGATTACAAAGCCACAAACACATATAGTGGAGAGGAACATACATGCGAAAGCAGAAGAACAAAGGAGTGTGATTTAAGAAGCACATATACATAGAAAAGTGAACGAGTTATTGAGTCATTTGAATAAATAACATTCAAGCTAGTTAGAGGAATATGTGTATAGGCTATAACACGTGATGAAGCTCATAATAACATGATGATAATAATCATACAAAGATAAATTGTTACTGTCAGAATGACACTGTTAAATAAGTTAGTTGAAGGCCGAAATTCCACGTTGTTTATGACTGACTGATTAAATGCTGTTTTCATAAGTATATGTTTTGAATATCAACTTAGGCACCAATTTTAGGGTAAAATTATTAGGGAATTTAAATGTACCGTCTAGTTGTATAGTATGATTTCGAACATTACAGAAAAACGTGAGAAAATACATGGCAAATAGAATATTCAAAGTTGAGTCGTTTGTACAGTTATTAAGGTTTAGCGCCAGATAACCTGCCCGGTTTATAACTCATCCAATTGATTTATTATGAGTTGAAAGACGTTTGGTAATATCAATTACACGACTATCATTTCCACGCTAGTAAATTAATCTGAGACAAATAGATTACTTAATAGTAAGTAATACGTTTCCACTACTTATTATAAGCGTGAAATCTCAAGCTTATTTGACAAACCTCCAAAATTGTGTTCAAAGCAGATTCATGGACAAGAGATGCAGCGACTAGACCACCGAAAGCAAATAAAACGGCACGAAATATTGTAGCAATCAGATTACTTGTAACTATAAATGCATAGATCTCTAAAAAATGGTATCCAGTGGTAGAATTCGGCTCACCAAATTGTACAACAGAATGTGTGCTTGTTTGAAGCATCTCATTAATGGATGAATTGTAATTAGTTGGTGATAAATCATACGTTGAGTTTAAATCCTCATATTTCATATAATGAACCGGGAATAATTTAGTTTCGTAAGATGAGTCTTGGAATGATGATACTGCTGCTGTTACATTTCCATTTTGTACCCAGTGTGATAACCACCAATCAGATGCATTTCGAGTACCTTTTATTGAAAGAGGGAATACAAAACAAAATACAGATTCAAGAGATGCAACAATGGTATATATACCAAACAGGGTTTTATAATTTAAGTAAATCGCTTTTTCTGTGAAGGCAATCGTTTAAAGACCTTCCTCCAATTACAGCATTAGCGGTAAATAGCTTGTGCTCAAATCCTAGTAATACGAAACGGCTGCCTAAGGTTAGGTAAGTGGAGCTAGGTTTGAACCTGTAAACTACAGATCAAAAGTTCAGTGACTTTACCATATAGTCAGTATAATCAATGTTTTGTAAATATATCTGATATTTAACAAGAGTTTCAATAAAATACAAGATTATTATCATATGTTTCATTCAAAATAATAATGACCAAGTAATTCATTAGAATGGGGAGTTAGAAATGATGGTTCAACTTGACAATCATCGAAAATTGAGGAACACTATATAGTTGTCAGTGTGGAGCATCATGCAATCTTAATAAGGGAACAGTTTTCTAGTACTCTCTGTTTTTAAAACTTCACCTAGTTGAAGTTAGACCCTCATGTGAATTACTTTTATAAAGCAACATTTACCAAGTGAGCTATGCGTATTTATCAATAAAACCTTCAAAATAATGATCTGATCCTATTGACATTTGGATACAACTATTCCATTTAGTAATTTGATCTATAGTCAAATATAATGGTGAACAAAAACTACAAGCTGCGCGGTTACTTAAAAATAGGTGTGAAGATGTCCAGAAGTGAGATAATTCGAAGTTATTTTAGAGAAACATGGAACCTTATATTAAAATCACACTGCTACCTAAAGAACTCAAAGAAAATAATTACGTTTGTTTCCTGAAATCTAGTAGGAGTGAATTTACCCAGGAATAAAGTTGCTGGGTTTCGGTGTTCAAGAACTTTCACGTTTTAAGGATTTACTAGTGCTTCAATCAGAATTTCTTTCTTTTGATAGTAAGAGAAATAATCAAATTTTCAGTTGCAATCAAAAGATTGACAAGCTGAAAATACGCTGTACGAAGGCCTGCTTCACGTAGTATCTGCATCTGTGAAGCTCTTTGAAAAAAAGATTCCTTACCTCATATCTAGTCGAAAACATTTTTAAAACACATTTTTCAATGACTAATTGTCAACTTCTACAACAGCATATTGATATACTGGTCTGATTATGAAAACTGAATTATTCGTACAACTAAGAGTGTATCTTATTAACTTAAATATATTCAATATGTATGTTTATTTTATCTAAACAGTGAATATGTTTGTATCAATGAAAAAAAATGTATACTTGATTTTCTATCATAAAATTTATGCGTTAAAAACTTAATCGAACTAAAGTAAACAGAAAAATATGTACATGAATGAATAAACAATAGAGATAGATTATGTGGCATACATTTGTAAGTAGCTAATTTAATGCTGGTATAAAAATTAATGCAGCAGTTTCTTGGCAGACATATAAACAACACGCCGTAGAATGCAACAGAATAACGCAATAGTCGAAGTTAGGACACTAAAAATGTAGCAGCGAAGATCAACAAAAGTAAGGAGGCCGATTTTGAGGTATATCACTTATTGACATCAAACAATAAAGAATTTAAGACAATAGGTCTATATTTTCTCATACAAAGGAGATGAAGAGATAAGGTTTGCGTTGACGATGATACTTTTAAAACTTAGGCAGAAACTCAGTGGTTTACATAACATCAACTTTCGTCAAAAGGTGATGTAAGCCAAATTTTAAATTATAACAAGAAAAAAGTATTCATGAAAATAACAATTCAGTGGATATGTACCTCTATTAACTCGACAAATTTTCACATGAGCTTATCAACGTATAATCAAAGAAATAGATCAATTACTGACTAACACTACTAACACGTACCTTGCATTAACACTAAAGACAGAATAATGCAGAATGTCAAAATATAGCCAACAGAACGAATATATGATATGTAGACATGAGGACTAATGGAACCGATTGCCATATGTTCGATATTCATGTTCACATTATTATTATTGTTATTGTTGTTGATTACATTGACCGGATTGAATTCGAATTGATTGGCATTGTTTTCATCTTTATTGGTAATTAATGGAACATCATCGTTTTCATTATCATTTTTTTCATTACCATTATGATTATCACTGGACAATGTAGATTCCTCATGAGTAGAATATTTATTGACATTAAAAGTAGATTGATCCACAAGGTCATTACCATTATTGTCAGAGTAAAGATTACCTGGAATTTTTCGAGTGATTATTCCATCTTTTAACTCAACAATAAAATCTACTTGAGTACGTTTATTTGAAGTTTTCTGAACATATAAAATGAATATTGAGAAGATAAGTTCAATAGAAATATGCAAAATAAATAAACATATGACATTTTATACTTACAATAATTACACGGTTTGTACACTACTATTATGGTACAAATTCCTAAAATATGTCGAAAATACTTGAGCGGCTTAGTGATTTGAAGCGATTTTCTGCCAAATCAGATAACTGAGTTTAATTTTTTCTTTGATTCAAATGACATTTCACTTTGAACAATACAGCTTTGTACGCAAGGAGAGAATATTACAATTGATCTAAAATCATATATAATGTAAATAAGGAGTAGAGACAGTACCCAAGTAGTAAATATGGTATGATTCGGACTTATAACTTGATAGATATAAATGACATATATTCGGCTTATGGATTTGAAACAACTTTATATTAGATATCTCGCTAAAAAAGCACGGGGCAAAATTTATGTTTATATGTACTGATTTCGCCTACTTTACAAGTAAATCTTGAATAAATTAACTGAGGCAAAGTATCAAATAAAGATTGTCTAAACGTACTAATCAAACCTAAGATATGAGTTAATTACCTGAGAATTTTTGTATTGCTATACACGTTCTCATTCAAATACATGTCAATAAGGTTGGGTATCTTTATGATGTACATGTGTACATGTCCTTCTAATTTATTACAACCGGTACTGGTATAGTGAAAGAAATGTGCCAACAAGATAAAAGAGAACTCGATGAATTTAATAAGATGAGTAGTTGTAAAGGAAAAATATGAGAGAAAGGAGTACATATTAAAAGGTATATAATAACAAACTATTTGGCTTATAGTGGCCGTAGTTTACTCCCGAATACCATGAGATGTTCTATTTGCTAAGCAATAATGTTAATAATTTAGTGTATTTATAACTAAGATTAGTAACAGGAGCATATATTTCAATTCTATATAAGGATTTGTTATTTTATCTATCTTATTCTACTGATTTGTCTGTGGCTATATATATATATATATATATATATATATATATATATATATATATATATATATATATATATATATGGGATGAACGCATATTCACTTACACTGTTCATTAACCAATCCAACTGATGGGTGACGATAATTCTAGTTCTTCCTGATAGAAGACCAAATAAACAATTGCTGATAATATGTTGACCAACATCAACGTCAAGTGCAGATAACGGGTCATCTAAAAGATAAACATCGGCTTTTTGATAAACAGCTCGAGCAAGAGCGACACGAGCACGTTGACCTCCACTAAGACTGCTTCCACCAGCTTCGCCAACGTCTGTATCTAAACCATTAGGAAGCTTAATTAGATCAGATTTTAAGGCACATGCTTCAATCACAGTATTCATCCATGTCAAGTCACAGTCAGAACCAAACAAAATATTTTCCCGTATGGTTCCAGAATGAAGCCAAGGAGTTTGTCCTACATAAGCATATCGAAGTCGTGGATTAGTCTTCATGACTTCGTTTCCAAGTTCGTTTTCTGGAACAATTGATTGCAGTTCATCCAATATACTTAAAAGTAAAGAAGATTTTCCAGAACCAACTGGTCCAATAACACCAATTAATTCTCCCTGAAAATGATTATGAATTTAATAAATTTACGCAAGGATTTTGAAAGAATAATCATATGGAATGAGTTTTAAAATTAATATACAATATGGTGTATTAGCATAAATTGATACACCGCTGAAATATACTTCTAATTTAGTACTTCAATTAACAACTAAAAACTTCATCGACCAAAGCCAAATATTTGTCTGGCCCTAATAAGTCGTTTGGTAACTCACTAGTACTTTCGAAGACATCACCTTTAGGTAGAAGAAAGCTAAAGCTTTACACCCATAGATTACTTTTCAACTTCCATAAATATACACACATCGGTCTAATAGAATTAGTGACACTTCTAAGATCTTGAATAATTAAACACCTATAAAGCTTAGGTAGAATGCCATCAACGAGCAGATTTTACAGCTGCTGAATACAATACATAATGGAGAAGCAGATAACTCATGACAGCAAGCATCAAAAAAAGAGAAGATAATTGCTGAAGTATCTGCTCAGGTTAAACACATCCTAACAGATAAAGTGGATTTTAGTAGTGCAATAAAACCAATTGATAACTACTTTTAACTTACCCATTGCACTTGAAGAATTATATTTTTTAAAACTAAATTATCAGAGTCAGTATAATAGAATGACTCATTCATGATATTTATTGGCATACTGATTGTAGATTTTTCGGCAAAAGAACAAACAATCGGAATATCTGTTGGTGTTCCAATGTTAGAAAGTGGAGTGTCAGTCAATTCTAATGGAAATGAACCAGGTGATAAATAGAAAAGTTTTGTAATGCGTTGCATAGATATAGCTGCCTCCATAACACCATTGATAACCCAAGGGAATGCATTCATTGGACCAATCAACATTCCAAACAGTGCAAGACTAGAGAATACCTTAAACAGAACAGGACAATATCGGGTGGGTGTGTAGATTTAAGCGGACAATATAAAATACAAGCACTTAGTATTCAAGTAGCAAGAGGACATTAATATACAACCCGGTATCAGAGTGATCTGGTTCTGAAAATTAAAACTGACAAATTAGAGAGGAAATTTATTTCATTGAAAAAACACAAAACTGGAAAAATATTTCACATTTTGAGGAGGCTGAGGAGTAAATATAACGGTGATCAAAAAGCCCGAAACCAAAGCATCTAACGCAACATTTTTAATCACTGAGTCTTGTATAACGGGGGTTCTAAGATATCTTTTATCCTCGGTATTACTAAGACAAGACGGTAATATGATAAAATGACTGAGTCTCTACTATCACCAAATCGGATACTCTAATGGTACATAACACAGATTGCATAACACTATGTCAGATATCCCATTCACGACCGAACAGAGAATCAGAGCAAGCTATATACAATACTTTATTCATCACAGTTATAAGCAGTCACTCTTGGTGAGTCTGGAGTAGAAATCAATAAGGGGAAAGGAAGGCACAAATTTACTAGTCGGAAGGCTAAGTGCCTGTTTGTCCGCACTCAAGGACCAGTCACATTTTAGTTTTATTATCGGATATAAGTCTCATTTAGAAATAAAAATTCACTACTAATAATTTTTAACAAAACTTTACAAGAGATAAGTTGGACTTCTTTTCAAAGATGAGGCCGAACCTCTACTTGTTTTCAACAAATATATGATACGTGTGTTTTCAAATGATCATAAAACTGATATTTATGGGTGATCATTAACATGTCGCAATGGATACTGAAAATTTATCTACTTTAATAAAAAAAATGAACTTCATGAACTGAAATTACTTAAGATTTACCAATCAATAAACGATTCACAAAGTTAAAATATCAAGATAACACATTAAACATAGCACTTACCACAGAAACCTTCAGTTCGTTACCGACAGCCACATAAGTTGCAAATGTTGAACTAGCTAAGAGCGCAGGACAGACAGCCCAGAAGAACACACAACAAGCATCCAGCAACTTTTGACCACGTAGGGCTTTCAGTTCCTGAATGCGAGAATGCACGACACGATTTCTCATTAGATTCTCCCAACAGGCTAGCTTTACAGAGAGTGTATTTGATAGGATTTCAGACATCAACTACATTTTCGAAAAAAGAGAGATTATAGTGCTAACTGTTAAAGTAAAATTTAGTATGAAAATTAGATCATACGGAAATTCGAAGAATGAGAACTGAGAAATTTCGCGTGGAAATTTTCCTAACTAAGTAGGAGCTCTACTCATTACATTTCTAGCTATAAATGGAGGTAGAACTGCATGAGCTGGAAATGCAGAGAAAATGACAACTATACAATTCCAGTGAACGGATACATTAAGAGTCATAGAAAAATATGCTGTTTGGTTGATATTTTGGAACAAGTCAAGTAAACAATCCTAATTTTACTACATTAAGCATGCCACTATTCTAAATAATTTATTTTTGTAAATGTAAACCCGAAAGTTAAAATGATTGCTCTACTTTTCTATTGAAAAGAATGTATGGGAAAATTCTTGACGGATATGGGTTCGACATATTTGAACAAAGTCCATGTTTACCTAAAAACTTCCTTTTACTTCGGGAAAACACGAAAATACACTTTATATAATATTTCTTTGAATTTGACTAGTCAAAATATTATTCTACATACGTTACGTTATGGTTTATTCGTTTTGAACTACCATTCTAACAAAGACGTAAAGCGGTGAGTAGAGATCGTGAAAGTATCACTTGCATATTGTAGAATGAGTGATATGGTTTGGATAGCAGTTACATGAAGAGCAAGATTACGGACAGAATGCTGGAAGTTCCAGGTTGTTCACGAACTCGATTTAGTTATATTTTATTGACAGGTTAAGATACGTTTCAAAAATACACAAAAACCACATCGAATAAGGTTTAAAAATATAAAAAAAGCAGTTATTCGGTGCAATGTATATGTTACCTAAATGATATGTTACTGACTAGTAGCGGGTTCTATCTGAACACCTTAGTCTAAGGAAGCACAGATGAAGCCCAGTGTGAAAAAATTCAAAGACGATACCATTTTTTTATACCATAGTTAAAATTCGGTTAAAAAGAGACGTTTAAAACAACATTTTTAAGTGAGCTTATAAATGACGGTTTTCAGTTTGTTTTCGCGATAGAAAGTGGAAAAATGTGAGATAAATAGGTTTCAGGGAAATAGGCGCTAAGTAATTGAAAAAGCTGTCTTTAATGGTGCATTATTAGCTAGTATTTATGGTTATACAATAAGCTCACAACTTAGAGATAAATAATATTTAGACAACCTCAACTATTTTTAGACAGCTGATTATTTTAAAGCGATAAAAGAATGAATAGAACTAAGATACATAATAAATCAATACACTCACCTTGATTCGTGCATCTTTAAATACCATCAAACGACGACTAAACTTTCCTATTTGTGCTGCCAAAACACGGTTAACTGGGAGTAACACAAGCAGAAACCCAATTCCTACTAAACAGGCAATCCCAAGTTGATGGTAGAGTAGTCCGACTGCGACAGATAGCTGGAGAGGCATTGCCCACACTTCGTGAACACTAGGTGCGAAATTGACTATTCTATCAGCGTCAGAGGTTAGGTAGTTAACCAAACTTCCTGTTCCAACAGAATTAAGTGACGAAGTCCTGAGGGATAGAATTTTTCTATAAACCATTCCAGTTACACTGACTCTAACCTTGAAGCCGAAAATTGCCATTCTGTAATTATAAGATGTGCTCAAAACTGCTATCTTTAGTGACAAAAGTACTAGTCCAAATCCGACAAGAATACAAGACCAGAAAGGAATTTCAGAATTTGTCACGCTCAGAATAAATTGATTTAAAACTACTGGACCACATAAACCAAAGCCACTAAGTAAGAGTTTCAGCAAACCAAGAAACAGAAATTCATGACCAAACGCTGAATAACTTGCTTTTAAAAATGGAAGACAGGCTTTGATCGAACACTTATCATCAGAAATATTACGAGGTTTCCCAGCTGGTTCATCAGTAGTTACAGACTGCAACTTTAATTTAGGAACTTTTGACTCCAAAGTGTATGCATTCAGGTGCTTAGGGATTAAAGGTAGATTTTGAAGTGAATACAATTCTCCATAATAACCATTACGAACCAGTTTGCTTACCCAGCAGAAACACATTTTTGAAAAAAATGAGGCCGAATCTTCACCTTTTATAGCGTTTTCTGAAGTGGGTCTGCGTGCGATTTCATTTGAATGGTAACTTGTAGATACCTGGATACTATTTAAATTTTGTCTTAAAATCCGAGCACTTCTGCGCCTAGGCTCTTCTGAGGGATAGAAAACTGGAACTTTGGACAATAAATGAAGGCTTAACAGTACTAATTGAATATAGCAGTTAACAACAACATAAGGCCTCCACAACACATCTACTCCCGTTCTAAAAGACCAACAAATTATTGCGGAACAAAAAAAGTAAACCATCAAGAAAGAAAGGTGAATCCAAGGGCCTCTAGAAGAATATTTTAAAGCTTTACCATGGAGATAATCAAAAATTAGTGTTGTAATCCAGAATATTACTGCCATGAAATTGTGAACTGCAGTAAAACGGGAATTAATCGAGAACCCCTCTTCATAATACGGTAGGAGGAATCCGAGAACAACAAGCACACTACTGCTAGTAATGATTGTGATATCCACAGCCACTCGGAAGTAAAACGCTGAACAATAAAAATTGTCAAATGACAAGTTCCTCCATAGGACGGTACAATAAATTATTGAAATGAATATACACAACAAAGTTACAGGAATATAAACATATACTTCAAACCAGCAAGCGCCAACAACTCCATCATGCCATGGACTAGGATCTATAGTCCCACACAAAGATTCCATTAAAGGGACATGCAATCGACAGGTTTGATTTCGTGACCAGTCAAGTTACCTTGAGGTACAATGCCCAATATATACAATATATTTTCACAATCTAGTATAGATTAATTGTCCTTTTTGCATTCCCTTCTTCTTCCTTAGGTTCGGTTCTATGTTTTTATTAACTCCCAATGGATAATAATCACCTCAACTATTTTTACTAATTTTATGCGTTTGGCAGCTCTTTATGTGTATATCCAGTAATCTGATTGCGTTTTTCTAGGGGCATTGAGGTTTTTTGATACCATGAGCTATCAGATTACCCGGATGGAGATCATTTTACCTAAAATTAAAGAACAATAATAAGAAAGTTCTATTGCTAATGCGATTTTTGAATGAATAATTAGATAAATTAACCTATTCGTATCACAGCACAAAAAAGTAGGCAAAAAGCAGGAAATAGAGATAAAAAGTCAGATAAAACAACTTAGTTATGAAACGACGGTCATAACAACGAGACGTGCATCAGACACAGCTGGTTCAAGAGGGAGAATATAGTCTGTATGTGATTACGTGTTTAACAAGTCTCTTCTCGAAGCTATCCACTGAGGGGACTGTCGTCATTTCATCTCGAGGAGAATCTCAAATTTCGCCCACTGTTAATGGGAAAAAGTGGACGTGCGCCTGGGTATTAACTCCCGATGTGCAATTTTTCAACGGTGTCGATGCTTTGACACGTTACTCGTGTTGGGATAATTTGGTGAAATTTACAAGATGTGTGCCGTGATCAGATTAATTTTGATTCCATCATAAATAAACGGAAAAAATACTGTGTTGAAACCGGACTTCATAAGGTGCATATCCGTGATACTCTTAATGCTTTATAATGCCTGACTAACGAAAGGAAAATTCATAATTTCCTCTTCGGGTATTTTCTTCGAAGTTAAAGAGGGGTTGGATACTATAGGCTTAAAGATCGTACAGTCCGTATCGATTCTAAGAAAAAAGCCTCAAAACTAAGGAAGATTATTGGTATGAAAATTGGAAAATATATTTTAATAGTTGATAGAGGTATTGTTTTTTTATTGGTCAGTATTAAGTGGTATGTCCCACGGCATCACAGTACGTGATCTAGTGAGGCCTTCGGCTATTATGTACATACTAAACTTTTTGAGGCCAAGATCAATGTCAAATGCCAACAGATCTATCATCATCATCACTTTTAAATATGCCAATATGAATGCAAGCGATGCTGGAAAATTTTAATACTTTGATACTATTTGTCAAAACATTTGTTCTCGGTCATGTATTAATACCCAGATGACCACAGCCTATTTAACTACAAACGTATACTGAACTCATAGCAGAGGTGCAGTCGCTATGAAAATACACTAGATAGGACAAAGCCAGACTTTGCTGGTATCCAAAAAATTTTTTAAAGTTGTCTCAAAGACAAACAAAAGATTAAATAACAAGTACAAGGAACTGATTTGTCGATAGTAGGCGGAGGTAGGAGAACGTTGAACTTTTGAACAGGCTATCTGGCAGAAAAGCAACGCTCCACATCAAGTGACATCGTAATCTGATCACGGTGCCCGGCCGAGAGCCTTCAAACATTTCTGTTCAAAGAAACTAACTGGGTTAGAAGCTTTGTCAAGTCATTATTTCCTACCACATGAGAAACGGTAAGGCGGACTATAATGAAATTGGAACGAATCGTATGTGAATTGTACGATGCCGAATCTTGGGGAGATATCTAGGCCTAGGCTGATGGAAGTAGCTAATGGAAACTACCGCCAGTGGAATTAAAAAACTGGTTGGTTTTTTCCCTACTTGGTGTTACGAATAACAGATGTGATCTTCTAAGCTTCACTTCAGAGCTGAAATAGGGTGTCGTTCCCACCACGTTTAAGTGGTGACCGACTCGAGATTGAACATGATCAGCAATGAATACTAATTACTATCCCGTCAATTAAATCCAGGGTAAAGAATATATTTGAAGGTGAAAGTTGGCGACACAGGGAGCAGCAAGTTATGAATGACGGCAGTAACTCAAAAAAGGAGGTTGCGCGCAAGTACAGTTAGTACAGTTAAACAAAACGAGTACAATTATAAATGTTTTCTTTTCATGAATTGCGTTTCCTTCGTAGAAGTGTTCCACTACGACGTAATACAAATTTTTTCTCAGGTTTATGAGATTAGTTCATAAAATTCGATGCATGTTTGTAACAACTGCAGATAGGTTGTTATATGTTGCTTAATAACCCTCGGTTAAGAAAAAACGATGACACTTAGAAGGTATGTTTATTTACTGACCTATTTCATGTAGACACTACATTTCCAATTTTTCCACACTAAATAGCGGAATTTTTTTATGTTTAAATAATGATAAGTCCATGTTCCACTTACTACTTGTGTTTTATATTCAATGTATTCAAGTCTTTTTAATTTTCTTATCCGAAGAGAGTATAAGGTGTTAGTACAAACACTTACTTATTCTGAAAGTAGGCTCCAGCAGTGATAGGTGTAGATGCGAAGCCTCTTATTGAATATATGCGCTTTGGCATTCACAATTTAGTTGTTTTATTGTATCCCCATCTATTATCCGTTTTGAGCAACGAAAGTTTGACAAGGATAAACTTTTATATGGTATTTTCGGCTGAAGTACAATGTGGGAACAACCTTAAACCAGGTGGGAAGTTTTAATCACTTCTCAATCAGTTCAAAACAGCTTTTATTATTGAATAGCTTTTGTAAATGAAAGTGAAAATTGGCAAAGAGTAAACGAATTTCAGATGTTTAATACGTCTATTAGACTCCTCTACAATTTATCCTGTCATTAAATAAAAAAAATAATAAAGTCATCCTTAAAGACTTTGGTAAGTTGTCTTCTCAAACGCTGCTTTTAGTTAGAGTTTTCATCACGAAATGGAATCGGCAATAATTAGAGAGTTTCTTTAGTTGTAGGGGCTAGTGAATTTCAAGTAAAACCTGATTGGTCTTATTTTAAACATAAATGTTCATTCTTATTGTAAATTGTCACTAGGCTGAGGTTTGTTTTGGGATCAAAGTTTTTAGGTTGGGATTTCAGGATGGTATTGTATTCAGTTTGCGATAAAGAATTGAGAATCCGATAGGTAACACAAAATTTCTAGAATATACGTTACCAAAATTAATTTTTTGTTATTTTAAGCGTTTGAGAGATCTTTAAACAGACTCTTATCAACCATTCTACAGGATATAAAATAATCATCATTCATCTTTGACTTTTGAACTTTAACACAAAAGTCGTTTTTTCAATCTCGATTTACTCATCTAACATATTTCTACAGCTTTTTCCATGGTAGAGCATGAAGTCAGCTAGTTTTCGGAATTATTCTGTTCATAGTGTACTATTTAGCTTGGATAACTTTCGTATAATTGTTGTCTAATAGTTGCTTTTTAATAAAATTATACTAAATTCTCAACAAATGTAAATAGTAATTGGTTAGGGTTAAGGTTGACTATCTTCTCAGGTACGCCATAGTGTCAAAGAAGCCTCCATAGTGTTGTTCTGTTCGTATGCTTTTTTTAGTCAATGAACTTAATGTAGAATGGTAAGTTCCATCCGATTGATTGTTCCACAATGATCCGTAATGTTGCGATTCGATCGGTACACGAGCGATCCTTACCACGGATTCCAGCATGTTGATCTCGAAGTTGAGCATCCACGAAAGTCCTTCATTCTGTTTAACAACACATTGCTGGAGACTTTGCCTCAAACATTCTGAGATCGCCTTTCTCTGGTATTTCGACCAGGTGTCCTTCTTCCTAATCTGTTGGTACTTGTTCTTCATCCCAAATCTTGTTGGAAGGAATGTGTAATATTTTCACATTTGCTGCCACTTCTGCTCTCATTGCCTCTGCTGGAGTGTCGGCTGGTCCTGCTGATTTGCCGCTCTTGATTTGTCTGATGGGCATACTGATCCGTAGGTGCTGCTTCCCTTTTGAGTGGGTTCAGTGGGACTGGTCAATCCAAGATTCCCTTAAAGTGCTCTAACCCAACTGTTTAGCTGTTCTTCAGTGTTGCTGATTACTTTGTCTTCCTTGCTTTCCACAGGTCGTTCTGGCTTACGATAATTTCCGGCGAGCTTCTTTGTTGTATCGTAAAACTGTCTGAAGTTTCCACCTCTTGCAGCATTTTCCGCTGTCAATGTATGATAATCAGAAGTATTTGTTTTTTAGGATCAAGAACTACGGGATGAGCACGAACGAATGTACTGTATTTAGAATTCGAAATCAAGCATTCAACAACAACCAAGAAGTCACTATTTCATTCAAACACCCCATCCGCCGCAGCTTAAATTGGAATCCAAGTGTGTGTAATCAATTGTACGTCTTCTTCTCAAATTCATCCTGTGTCTGTCCGACAGTATATTGGATAAAGGCTCTGTATTATCTAGAATGCTCTCATTAGTATTAGTATTAACAACCGAAATTGGAACAGACTCACCTGGTTCCTGGAATTGTATTTGATCAACATATCGATTGTGTGTGCTTAAGTCACTGATATCCAGAAGTAGCACCATAGATTTCCCGACATTCTTCAGAACAATCCCTGTGGATGGCCGAAGATCATTGCCACGATAAGATGTAACTTCTGCAGACTCCAAACATCTCATATTCGACCGAAGAATTCTTCCTTTTAATAGTTTTGATGGAGTCTCTTTCGTCACCGAATGTCTGGCATATCTATTTTGCAGTAGAAAGGTATCTACTACCCTCTCCAGCTCATTAAATGTTGAGGCGGCAATAGAATCAATAGCAGTTTTCAACGTCCTGACAAAATTTTCTGCCTGACCATTGGAACAAGGATGTCTGGGAGCAGTAAACAGATGTTTGCACCCTATACCATTTAACCAGGTAGTGACTGCATTTGCAGAAAAATGAGAGCTGTTATTAGTCACTAACACCATTGGAACCCCTTCTCGAATAAACACCTTTCTTAATGCTTGAATTTGTGAAGTTGTGAAAAAAACTTCAGGCCACTTTGAAAAATAATCGATGACTACAAGCGCATAGTATTTGCCAAGAAACGGGC